TATGTTAAACAAAAATGAATATTATTCATAAAAATATATTAACAAGGGAAATAGAATACAAAATAAAAATAATTTTCCTCTCTAGATGATGGGTTAGTGGTTTGGGTCAAATGGATCAGTGTGATAATTATAAAGAATTACACACACACATATAGAAAAATTGGACATTGTAGAAAACTAGACTAGGCATAGAACTAGAGAAGGGAGAGGTTCATGGGTCAAAGGTTTAAATAGGGTCGAACTATGATGACATGGCATATACATACATACATACGTGCATACATAATTAAAAATTGCTCATAAGGAAGGGCATCTTCCCAACACTTAAGTTTAAGTAATCATTGAGTTCAACCACCCTATGAAGCCCAAGGATAATGGACTAATGTGAGACAAAGCCCATCAGATTATTAGCCACCTAATGCTTTCTTGTCCTTAACCTCTCAATCCTAAATAATCAAAACATTGCTCATAGGGAAAGACATCTTCTCTGATTGCAAAATGCAATGCCGCACCCTCTGTTTAGTTGATATCAACTCTATTTGAGATATAGTTCAAGTATAGTTTTTAGCTTTCCATCAAAGATAATGTAAGCCTTGATATTTACTTTGTCTCATAATGGGATTGATCCTAGGGGTGTTCATGAGTCGGGTTGGGTCAGTTTGAATCAATTTCTTCCATCGACCCAACCTAGTCAATTTACTTATTGACTAAACCGAAACCGATCGACCTTGAAGCAAAACCTTTGGGTCAGTTTATCAGTTTAGTCAGTTTATATATATATGTACAAAACCGAATTAAGTTTATTAGTTTAGTCAGTTTATATATATATATATGTACAAAACTGAATTAAATATTGTGCCACTGTATTATATTTGTATTGGTTTTGTGTTTTTATATTTTATCATAAATAACATTTTTTTTCAAAGTTCAAACAAAACACTAATAAAATATATGTACATTTAACATATAGGGTAGGGACTAATTAGTAATTACTTAAACATATAGGAACAGTTCAGTTCGGTTTCATGAAAACCAAAACCGAATCGAGTTGTCAGTTTATTTTCTCATACAAACCAAAACTGATCGATGGTTTTGAAAAATCGATCAACTCATTGATCCTATCACTATAATCACCCCTAGTTGATCCTATCACTATAATCACCCACTTAGGTAATATCTTAAGCTTCTCAAACATACCTAGGTATTTGACCCTAGATGGATCTCATTGATGGCAAATCAAAAGTAAATTAGTCCAAGACCTAGTATAGTATCATAATTAAGTTTGGAGGTTAAGTGCAACCTTCTAGTTTTGCCCATTTGTCTCTAAGATGTAGGGCATAACTGAAAACTAGTCTAGGCTCAGTGTTTCTCAAAAACACCCATTGACTGTGCTTGGGGTTAAACCTAGTAATTGAGACAAGCTGCTCCATCAATTTGGTAGTACATCGGTGCCAGTCTTGTCAAGATAAAGTCACCAAGATAAAGTCTCATGAGTAGGAGTAAGCAAATGGGTATGTTCTACCCGGAACTGACCTCAAATAGGCCTTGAAACGACCCTACCTAATCTATTAAAGGGTAGGTCTAGTTCCAAATTCTTGGAACTGACTTCCACCCAAGTTAGTTCTAGGGTCTAGGGGTTTACCCTGCCTGAACCAACCTGATGAATTGACCTTGAAAATAAATTCCAAAATATTTTTAAGGACGTAAAGATATGAATCCAAGAACTCATGGTTACAAAAGCCATGGTCTCACTTAACCATTGAGTTACTCAAGTGATTTGATCATTTCTTTTCATTTCAATATTTGAATGTTTATAAAAAATAATATTTATAATATTTAAATTTTAATGACAAATTTGTGAACCATATATTAATATATTATAATAATCTCCATATTAAATTATTCAATTTAATCAATAAAGATAATAAAACTTTTAAACTATATAATATAACTATTGAAAATTAAGTTTTTAAAGGACATGTTTCTTTTCTTTCTTTTTTTTTTTTTTTAAGGGGAGGGGGGAGTATAGAAAGAACAAGTTCCGCAGATAGACCCTACAATTGACCTCAAACCCACCAAGGCCAAAACCAATCTCGAAACCGACTTTCAGAGGGTAGGTTCTGGATCCAAAAACCTCTTCCATGGAACCAAATCAAACCAGCCTATGCTCGCCCCTATTCATGAATGTCCAATTTAAGGAGTAATTCACAAAAAACACTCTAGCAATTTGAACATAAAATAATAATGTACTTATATTATTAATACATAAAGTCTGTATACATTGATATGGTTGGAGATAATGACATACATTATCTAATAGATGATGTGGTGTATTGTGTTGAGTCCTTGATGTAGTGGGTGGAGGCACACATTGAATATTTGGGGAAGAAGTTCGAGGCGTGGTAAAGATTTGGATAGTATCTATGAAAACTATCTATTGTTGTAAAGGGTCTTGATTGGCACTTGTGAGTCTAGTGGCCTAGAAGTTTCCAAACCTATATGAATCTTGAGTGTACTCTTGGATTGATGTCTTTCTCTCTTCATTACCCCACGACAACAATTCAGCATTACATAGTTCAATCTTCATAAAGATTTGGTTCGAAGTTTGGCTAAACTTGAATCCATTTTGAAGCAGGCATTTATATTTGAGCAAATTTATTAAACTACCCTTATAGCTCAGCAAATTGACTACTACCCTTACTATTTATATATTGTCTTAAAGTACCCTTAAGTTTTTTGACGGTACCATATTTGAGATCTTAGAATGCCAAAAATTCCTGTCAGATAGCTTTGTGGTCATGCACATTTGACTTGGGCAGTTCGGGTTAATCTAGAGTATTATGATAAGGTCATTTTGAGTGCAAGAACATACTCAGCAGTCAACTTATGGTTTGCCTCTGCTACTAGTAGCGAGGATTCAAAATTTGAAAGCCTTGTAGAGTCACCTATACGGAAGGTTGATCCTTTACTTAACTCCTATAATGACTATGAAGATAGTGTTAATGGCCTTGGATGGAGTTGTTGTGAACCTTGGATTTTTGCATCATTGTCATATGATGGAAGGGTGGTTGTAGAATCGGTGAAGTCTTATCTCCCACAGAGGTGAAAGGAAATCTTATGGTGGGGGGAAGCTGGTAAACCCCCTTTTTTTATGAATTGTTAAGATATAGTAATTTCCATCTTCTGCTTCTTTCGTTCTGTATTCCTTGGTGCAAGCTTTGTGCTACTCAACCTAGATGGAATCCCGGGACCCGCCATTGCAGTAATTCTTTCAGAGGAATTAGCGCAGAAAGATATGCTGCCACTACTCCTGAACCTGGGTGGCGTCAAAGCATACAACTGCCGAAATGGACCTACGACTTGATAGAAGAGAGACCGTCGGAATGGAGATTTTCCGACTTTATAATTTCAATGTCATGCCTCTGCATATGCCTCATTAGCCTGAGTGCCGAACCAGACGAAAACCATCACCTCTCTTGCCTTGGCCTTCTTCAATTTCTTGTCCTTCATTCAGGTGAATTATACAACCTAGGATCTCTAACAACATTTGAATGGGTGTGACAATGTGGGTGTGACCAAAATGATGCAGGAGACAGAGAGGAAGAGGGAGATGGAGTAGACTTAAACAATTTGTCAACGTGTATTTTAGAAAATTTTGAAAAATATATCAGTCACATGATGTCGTATGATGTAAACGGAATGTGATGAAAAGTTAATAACAGGGGAGGTTTTAGACAAGTGCCAGTAAATTTAGAGATACTTTAAGACAATATGTAAACAGTAAAGATAGAGTTAGTCGATTAGCTAAGCCATAAAGATAGTTTAAGAAATGGGACATTACCAAGTCAGATTATCTAGGGGACTATTCAAAAACTTTATAACCCAATTCACGCCCCCTCTTTGGTTGCATCTTTGGATAACATCCCAAATGTCTTAGGACACCTTAAATGGAGGAACCTACACCTAAGGCTAGAAGTAGAGGATTTCATCAATAATAAAAAGATATGAGACATTACCAAGGGCCCGTTTAGTAAGTCTTTTTGAGAAGATCTTCTTGTAGCTTTGAAGTCAAAAGACGTATTGAGCTTTTGATATAAGATCTGGGCAGCCCAAAAACCGTTTGGCATATGCATGTTTTTCCATGCAAGCATAAAATGCAAAAGTCGCGAAAAGTTCCATTTGGAGATTCCTGAAATCAACCAAAAATAGGCTTTTTTCGTCTTTTCGGTATTCTGTCTTTTAACAGCTAGATCTTTCGCACGCCAAACTGATATAGACCAAATTTTGATCTACTCAATTTGTAAACAACCGAAAGACCACATGGAAAGACGCGCCAAACGCCCCCAATGTTAACAAATACACCATCTTCTATAATGACCCCACAAATTTCTATCTGTCTACCTAAAATTGGAATGGAATCATGAGGGCAAAATATGGCGAGGATGCAAAGCTAATGGGGAATATAATAGGAATCGGCAACATGGCTTTGTGTGGATCCCCAATCCGATGACAAATCATCTCTCCAGTGCAAAATAGGCTAAGAAAAAGGTAGGAAAAAGAAGGAAAAGGCAAGAAAACTTACACAAGATCTTAAAAGCAGGACCACTAGTATGTAGCTATAGGGAATTTATTATATTATAGAAGTTATGGTGAAACCTAATAAATCCTGATTCATTGAAACCAACTAACTCTTTCTTTTATACACTGACCATCAATCAATCATTCCATCCTTCTGAATAACAAGGAAAAGTAGAGGCGATTTTATATATAAATATAAAAAGGATATATAAAACATTACAAGGAGTGAAGAAACCATAGAAGTGGAAAAAGAAACAAACTAGGGCTTTCTAATCTAATCTTCAATTCGTTTGGATATTTTACCAGTTTTCTTCTTTTTTGACTTTTTAGAAATTAAAGGAGGACTATCACTGGGCTCTACTTAACTCTACCCCAGTGAATTTATTTAATATAAGTTATGATTAAACCTAATAAATCCTGATTTATTGACACCAACTGTCTCTTTCTTTTACATTGACCATCAACCCATCCTTCATCTCAAGAATAACGGATTGTTTCAAGGAGACTGGGTGACCCTCCACAACTTGAATGCTGTAGTTGAAGAGAACAGCTGCAGCAGCCATCTTCATCTGAGTGAAAGCCATGTCCTTACCCAGGCAAGTTCTTGGCCCAGTGCCGAATGCAAATAGCAGCTTGGAGATCATTTCATTGTTCAGTGTCCCGTCCTCACGTATCCATCTCTCAGGCTTGAATTTCAGACAGTCTTTCCCCCACACAGAAGGCATCCTTGCTAGAGCATAATTTGAGAGCAGTATCTGCATCCCTGGCTTCACAGTGGTGCCATCAGGGAAGATATCCTCCTTCATGGGACTTTTCTTCTGCGTATGAACTGGAGGATACAACCTTAGTGATTCGCAAATTGCTGCATGCAGATACACAAGTTCTTTTAAATCCTCTGAATCAAATACCCATGGCTTCTTTCCTTCTCCATTACCCTTCTTCTTAGCGAATGCAAGCTTTAATTCTTCCAGGAGTTTTTCCTCCACATGGGGATTCCTAGAAACTGACCAGAAGAACCAGACAAGACCAGAGGCTGTAGTATCTCTTCCGGCAATAATAAAGTTCAGACTCATGTCTCTCAGGTACTTCATCCTGGATTTGGACCAATCGTTTTCCTGTCCTTGAGACCTGATGAAGATAGACAGTAGACTATTCTTCCCTGATTCATCAGTACCATTAAGCAGCTGCTCCTTCTTCTCCAGAATTATATCCAGAATGATGTTATCAGCAACTTCCCACGCTTTGGCCATCTTCTTCTCTGACCCAATCTTCAACAAACGCATAAGCTTCCAAATCAAGGTAGGAATGAAGTTTCTGCAAATTATGGCTTCTTGTGCGTCATCAATGGCTTGAACAGCTACAGTAGCAGGAAGTTCTTGAGAAAGAAGCCCAAGATCCTTTCCCCATGTTGTAATGGCAATACTGTCAAAGGTGAACCTCAGAATCAAATCCTGCAAATCGATTGCAGACCCTTCTCTAGCCACATTGGCTAACAAAGGTAGAAGCTTTTCGTCAATTAGCTTCTGGACCGTGTGGCTGACGAAGCTCCGAAACTCAATCAGTCTGAAAGCCGAATGTGAAGCCTTCCTCTGCGTTGCCCATGACTCGAAATCTGTGTTAAATATACCTTCGCCGAGAATGTCGAATATCTGCCTGAAATCCTCCCCTTTTGGGTAGTTGGCAGTATTTACTTTGAGCATGTACTCGAAGTTGTGCGGATCGCAAGTGATCACGTAGTCGAGCTTTGAAAAGAGGCCCTTCAAGTAGAAGGTTTTGGTGCCGAGAGTGAGGAAAACTTCAGTGAACCAGTCAGAGAGCCTCCGAAAGTTTCGGGCTACCGACGGGAGGGAGCCCAGTAAAGGCCATTCTGGTATGACTTGGTTCTTCAATTTCTGCTTGAAGAACAAGAACCATCTCAGGAAGAACACAGCAGACAGAATGGCTAACAAGAAGAACTGGTACCCGGATATGGATGCAGCAAATTCGTTAGACACCATCTTTTGCTTTTGCAAATCACTAGTCTACCCCCAGTAATCTATATGTAGAGACGATCACACCCTCCATGTATCGATGTGGCCCCACCTTAAATTATTGGATGAAGTGAGTGGGGTTAAGGTGGGCTTCCACAATACATACCACAATACTACAAACCCGATATCCTGCCAACAAAATACATTCCAACAACCCACCATTCATAGGGGTGTTAATTGGACTGGATTTGATCCAAACGATCCAGTCCGAGTCCATTATAAATGGACCAGGTCCAATCTAATCCAATGAATGTTTTGGATCAATTTGTACCGGTCCAATATTTTAATGTTTGGACCGTCTAATTTATTTAGATTCATTTTGATTTAGATTGGTTTCAATTCAAACCTAATCCATTGATGCATATATTCTTATCATATATCAATAGACCAGATATTGGCTTAATCCAACTCAATCCAATAAAAATTTGTTACGGATGGATCAGATCCAATCCAATCTAATAGATATTTTGGACTGGATTGGTCCAATCCAATATGTCTTGTTGATCTGTCTAATCTGTCCAAATTGATTTTGGACTGGATGGGGTCCAATTCAAAACCGGTCATTGACACCCTTACCTACTAATATGATCTAACACCGCATAGCAGGTCCCACGTTATGGTGGGTTCCAATCTCATGGTGAGATATGTGGTGCATGGTTTTCGAACCATCGTTGACCTGGACGGTCGAACCATTTGGCCCAGGAACCATCCAAGCAACAAGTTCCATTTTACCCCAAACCTAGTCCTTGACCAAAAACCGTTGAATCGGTCAACGATCCATTGACCCAGATAGTCGAACCATCGACACGTTTGACGATTTTTTATTGTTTTTAAATTTGAATTATTATTTTTTAATTTATTTTGTCAGAATGGGCTATCCATTCGGACTGAATGGTTGAAACGTCGACCTGGAAACTAGTGGCCAGAACGATTCTGGTTCTAGGTGGTTTTTTAAAACATTGGTGTGGTGATAGATCAAGTTGGCAAGGGTTGCAATGTGTTTCTTCTTCTTCTTTTTTTTTACCAAGGATGGCATCAGTATGGGTTTCGAAACGAATTCATAAATTCTAAGCCCTACCCGCCTCTCTAAAACTCCAACTTGTATTATCCCAAAACCTATAGCAGGTTGGGTTTTTAGAATCCAAACCCTTATTGTACATGAAAGTACAAAATCCTCCCCAACCCTATCTTCCTTGCATTATAGGGTGGGTTGGATTTAGAATTTACATCTAATTTTGTATTATTTCTAGTTAAATATAAACAATAAATAAGTAAAATGACATGAATAAATAAAAAAGTTTTCAATTATTTGATTAAGATAAATAAAAAACATATAAACTATCAATTATCCTTTACATAAAATTTAAAATATTATTAAACTCAAAACCTAATACATCATAGTTCATATACTTCCCAATGACATATAATCATTGGGTTTAACCTAATACCATACACTTGGATATCATTAAATTCAAAACCCATTCCAGCTCTCTCAAATCCGTTGGAATGGGTGCCAATTCAGAATTGATGATGCCAATTCACAGGTGAACATTGATGTATAAAATAGGGGGCTTTCTATATTTTGAATATTTATAACTTTACAGTGAAATTCAGAAATCTGCATTAAACCTGTTCGTATTTTTTCAAACAAAAAACCCGGGTTATAGAATTGCCATCTATACCCGCTGCCATGATTTTATAACCGAAGGCTACGCCAGGATTTCACTCGTTTTTTTTTCCATCCCCTTTCCCTTTGACCCCCCAACCCCTGGTGGCAGCGGTATTTGATCCCAGGCTCTACTCCAACGAATCAGAAAACCTACCAACTGAGCCACCATCCTAATTCGTGAATAAATTGGAGCTTTTTCTTCGCTGGAGGATGTACTGAACATTAAGGGATATGAATTCAAGAACTCAACCGTTCCCTTGTCTAAGACAGTTCACGGTATGGGTTGGATACGTACAATGGGATTTTGAAGAGATTGACAGGCGGTAAAGAAAAAATTAATGGTTCAGTTTTATATAGGCTTTTGATGTGTATCCCGTGCATAACTCTGCTGCACTACTTTTTCCTTCACATGCTAGTGGTATCTTTCATTGTCTTTTATAGAAAAAACTTGGTGGTGCAAGTTTAGGAGTTATCTTTGGCTGTTTTTGGAGTTTTTGCTCATTATATACTTGAAGTGCCTGTTTAGTAAGTTTTTCTAGAATATTTGTTACAAGATCTAATAGTTAAAAGATGGAGTAAGCTTTTGCAAATAGATCTTACAAGATCAAAGACTGTTTTATTGAAATGTTTTTTTATAGATCTCATGAAATACCATAAAAGTTAGAAGACCGTTTGGTAGTGTGATGAAAATATGTGTTATGTATATATGAATGTCTTGTGTGTGGGCCAATGAACCTTTCATTTAACACATGAGACCTACATATATTTTCTAAGGTGAACCCCACGTACCATTGGTGGACATGTATTTGGGGCCCAAATACATTTTTCAAGGTGGGCCCCACATATCATTAGTGGACATGCATGTGGGGTCCATGTGTGGATATGTATGTGGGGCCCACATACATTTTACAAGGTGGACCCCACATACCATTGGTGAACATGCATGTGGGGTCCATGTGTGGACATGTATGTTGGATCCACATACATTTTTCAAAGTGGCCCCACATACCATTGGTGGACATGTATGTGGGGTCCATGTGTTGATATGTATGTGGAGCCACATACATTTTTCAATGTGGGTCCCACATAATACCTAATGTGGGTTCTACATACATTTTCCAAGGTGGGCCCCACATGCCATTGGTAGGTCCCACTTACACATTCAAATAGTTTTTTTGTGAAAAAATAACCCATTTTCTCCTAAGCGTGTGCATCGTGCCACACGTTTGAAAAAGACTAAAAGCTTCATTTGAAACTTCCTGAAAATGCCCAAATTTGGGCTATTGGCGTCTTTTATCGGTTGGAGCTTTTTCCCAATAGATATTTCTATTGCCAAACAGAAAAAGCTCAGAATTCAGGCTTCCGAACTTCTAAACAGCCCGAAACCCGCACGGAAAGACTTGTCAAACGCGGCATAAGTTAATTCAGGTCTTCATTTGTCTTTTAACTAAAAAAATATTAAGTGTAAATATCTCATTTGCCTTTGCACATGAGATGTCTTTCTCCCAAAACAGCTAAAGTTTTTCCAGACAATAATGATGAGTTATTCTAGACCCTATCCCCTCTCAATCTGTACTTACTCCGGGTTAGATTTTGAGAATCCAAACTCTTTCTATATATAAAAATGCAAAACCCTCCCCTGTATTCAACGGGATGGGTTGGATTTATAACCTTCATCTAATTTTCTATTATTTCTTATCATATATAAGCAAGAAATAAGTAAAATAACATAAATAAATAACAAAATTTTTAATTATTTAATTAAGGCATAAAAAAATACATAAACTATCAATTATACTTTACATAAAATTCAAAATATTATTAAATTCAAGACCTAATACATAAAACTTCTATGTTTTCGATTAATATACGGGTCAGATTTAACCTAATACTATACCCATACAGGGTGTAGAATAAATCCCAAGGTACCTTAGAAAGCTCTTTTTAGGCGTTTTAAGTAGGTCATGTGGCCATGTGGGTGTGACCAGTATGTTTGCAAGGACAGAAGCTTTGGTTGAGTTTTTGGCCTGGACTACTTTAAAGAAGTTTCAATGAAAAACCATTTTGTACTTGTTTGGGAGCGGTTTCTAGTGGTGGTCATTTTAAGATGGGTTCCATCCAAATAATTTATAAAAATCCAAAAAGCCCAAATCTATTGTCCTCCGGCCAAAAAACAACAGTATTCTATTAAAAGCTTCTTTTGATAGTTTATCAAAAATAGTTCCACCAAAACTTCAGCCCTCCCAATTTAGCCTTCTTCTTCCACCAACTTGAGTGTATTAGAAGCTGGTTTCATTGTAAAATTTACAACATCAATCATATTGAGGCAAGAGTTTGTTGCAAATCACACGGATTGGAGATTGATTCTAGCTGGTGGTGCCATCTTCATCAACTATAGATCGAACTGATAAGAAATCTACAATGGAAGTTAGGCACAAGGTTCCAAATATTGATACGGTCGGCATATCGGCCTGTGTTGATACATTTTTTTTTTTTAGTTTTATCGGCCTGTGTTGATACACCCCTGGAGGGGCGTATCGATAAGCCATTGGCATGACACATATCGGCTGATATGAGCCGATACGTATCGATACTTTGAAACTTGATCAGGCATGAACTACCACTTGATTGGCTGCATTTGTGGCCTGTCAACAATTAGGAATGAGAACTTACTCCTCTTAGTTGTTGTGGGTCTGACAAAACTTGATAGAAATCTCAGAGATAGGTTCTAATTCAGCATGGTTCAAAAATTTAAAATTGGGAATTTCGACTGACCTTCCCACCATTGGATGGTAGCACTTCTTCACCATTAACAGCCCTAATAATTAATTTGGTTTTTCTATTTTGAGTTTAATGATCAATTTTCTATTTAATTGGAGATTGTTGTGAGTTAAATCAGTCATAAAATACTTGGCATTGAAATCCCTACTAGGGGATGTATCAAGAAAGATCAATTCAGTATTTTTTTTTCTCTGTAAATCAAAGTTTCAACATCCTCACTAATGTGGGGTTAACGTGGTGTATATCATGGATGAAAAACACAATTTTTTTTTTTTTTTAGCACAGAGGATTCAAATACAATTAAATAATGATGTCTGTATCAGTATTTCAACTGAAAACATTACAGGTTGAAACATCAACAATAAATCAGGATTTAATGCATAGATTGATTGAATGAGTGTATGATAGGTGTTTCATTATATCGAGAAGGGATTTCTGTTGTTCGGTCCACCTAAATCTTTATGAGTTTGTACAATTGGAAACAGTGACGGGAATTCATCACAATTCAATAAGGGGT